TGGATCTATAAAAATGAAACAAAACAATTTTATTCAAATCTTTTTATTAAATTATTCAAAATACTCTCCTCCTGCTTCAATACACTTTTTACAGTGATTCAATAGTGATTCAAATGCCTGCTCAAACTCAATTTTCGGTATTGCCTCTAATATGCGCGTAGACTCTCTTTGGATGGTTTCAATATCATTAAAAATGCGTCCTTTCAACTTCATTTTCATTTTTGGAAATAAAGAGAAGTCACATGGTGCTAAATCGGGGGAATACGGCGAATGATTCAACACACAGACTTGATTTCGTGCCAAAAATTGACGAACAATCAATGATGTGTGACTCGGTGCATTATCGTGTAACAAACACCAGTCATCAGAATTGCGATATTCTGGTCGAATTCGACGAATTCTTCCCATTAATCGTTGTAAAACTCCCAAGTAGAAAGCAGCAGTAACTGTTTGACCCTGTGGGACGAACTCACGGTGGATGATGCCTTTGCTATCGAAGAAAACAATGAACATCGTCTTGATTTTTTATGGAACTTTTCGTGTTTTCTTGGCTTGAGGTGATGATAAACACTCACTTCCATACACTTTCTGCATCATTTTGAACGTTTCTGTGGCACTTGTGCCAAGTTTAGTGAAATTTAATAACAGCACGTTGTTCCATTATTGTTTGCCGACATGTAACAAAATAAACTGATAAACAAAATATCAAAAACAATGATAAATGTCAACCGATTTAAATAAAAGTTTTAGGTTAGTAGCGACATCTGTTCAAACTTCATTTGACATAAAATTTAAACAGATGTCGGTACTGGTTGCTGAGATATAGCTTCAGTCCCGGAATTTAATTGCCGCACTGTGTATACAATCTATTTTTACATGATTTTGAAATAATGTGGTTGACAAAAAACTTTTTTTTACATGATCAATTTTTTACGAGGGAAAAAATGCTTTATTTGAAAATTTTTAAATTTAACTTTTTGTTAAAATTATGTTGCTGTTTTAAAAAAAGTTACTCTTTTTGTTGAAAGATTGGTTTTAAAATTACATGTTTCTAAGTCAAGAGTTCATTTTATGCACAGTACAGTACTATTTGTATATCAAAGAATACTGTTTGTTGATTTTATACTACTTTGTATTTACTATATTTACATACAAGTAATAATGATAAATGATGATAAAATAAAAAGCTCATGTTTTGTTTGAAAATTGCTTATTTTTTCATTACATTGAAGTTGTGGATTATATCAAGTATTTTTCTACAGGATGTATGTATTGTATTTTTCTAATGTGGCAGTTTTTGAAACATATCAACTGTGCAAAAAGAGGGATAGATGTACTCAATGTTCACAGTAAATAAAATGCTGTTTTATTATGTCAATATTTCACACCATAAGAAATGTGAAGATCAGGGAATTTGGACTTAGTTGGTCAGGAAAAATCAAGGAAAGTCAGAGAATTCAAAACAAAAATTTGAGTAGGAACACTGTATATATGTGTTTGTAATGTATTACTTATACAGTGAATATACTGTAGGGGTCATGGAAATTGCATACCATATGCTTTATAACAAAAAGTATTCAATAGATGTGCAAAATAACACATTTAAACTATGATTGTCATTTGTAATGGTAACATATGTAATACAGAAAATAAATCCTAATAAAAAAATGCAATTCATTACATTTAATTTACCAATAAACTGGAACAGTTGACAATTTACACTGACACAAACATCGTACATACTTATTCCAGCAGAGAAAATTAATAGAAATTACAAACATTTTTGGCAGCATTGAGGCAATTCTCAAGTAAAAAAAAGCCATTCCACAGATAGAGCAAGGAAGAACATACTAAAAAATGGAGAAACGTTACAAACAGAATATGATGCAATTTAAAATTTACAAGATATAATGTTTTTTGTTGTTTATTTAAGATTTACAGGGGATAAATACAATGGAGTAAGATAAATTCTAAAACAAAAATACTAAAAATAATGTAGAAACTGCAGTTAAACAAGTGTCATGTAGGCTTATGACTTAAGGGTACATAGAATGTATTGCCATGCATGAAGTAAAGAAATGTTATCATTTTTGATGTAACTTCCATTGAGATTAGCTTTATATATTTTTATATTTTCAACTATTTGTAATCTCTATCAAATATCTTTTGCAAAGCATAGCTTCATTCCAATGGGACACTCCAAGCTCCCATGCATATTGTGTCAGTGCTGTAAAATAGTTGTTTGGAGATATCATATATATATAGTTTAATTCTCACACCCAGGGATCTGTATGAGGAACTGATGTATGTTAATGGTCTGTTGAATCTGGAATCAACCAAAGAAACAATGTATATCCTGAGAGCTCATAATTTATTTAAGGTATCTTTACCATTGATAAGTAACCTTTATAAAGTAGGGAATCTTTTATAAGTAAGATAAAAATTTAAATTTATAGTAGTCCTGGTGTCTAACAAAATTGGTGTGTTTCTGATTGAGAATGAGAAGTTTGGTTGCCACAATATTTAGTATGGTCTGTCTGGTTGACTGTTGTTCCATAAAGCATGCTATTGTGTTGGTTAATGATGCATTGTACCCATGATTAACTGTAATATGTTCCATGTGATTTAGTTCTTGTATTGTATCTGATAGGTGGGTACAATGGATGTATGCTCATTTAACAAGTACATGGAAGGCTGAAATTTTATAGGGCATGGAGTCTGTTGAGTTAGAAGGTATAAGAAAGGTCTGATTAGTGGGCTTACAACAAATCCAAGTTATCACTTTGTTGTTGTTAGGCTTGATATCAAGGTCTAGGAAGTGGATCCTGCAATTGTTGGATTGTTCTAGATTTAGCATTAAGCCAAAACTGTTGTCATTAAACATGTAAAAATGCTTGGATGTCAAACTATTGCCCAAATAATCTGGAAATTAAAATAATTATTATAGAATATTTGGGCTTGGTTGTTTATGTATATTTGCAATGATTTGTTAACAAAAATGAAACAGAAAAAGTGATATTTTTATGCTTGAGATGGCAACTTCTAAACTGCATACCAGTAATTATCTTGCTTTCAAAGGTCACTCTAGAGTTTTGAGTACACAGTAAGGCAGGTGTATGAAATTATGGTAATTTAAATAATAATGATGTAACAATGGATTATGGAGTTATCAAGTCTGATTTGTGACATTGCTAAACTTCTACATTTTACTTCTCATTGGTAAACTTTACATTTACACACTTGGTATATTATAATTTAATAATAATACAATATACCTGTACTTTAATTTTTATATATATTGTATATTTTTGTTGATTTATTTTTTAAAATATGGTTATATAATACATAAATACTAGAAAGAAAACTCAGTAGTTTTTTCATATGCAAGATATAATCATAAATGAAATAAAATTGGTGTTTTATTTTTAACTTTTTATTTAATATAGTTTTTTTAGACCTTCCTAATCTCTCTTCAGTTTTAACTACAAACTAGCATTATTGATGAAAAACAAATTATTACATTGTTAAATGTTGTCATTATTAATAACAAATCAAAAGTGAATCACTGTATTTTAAATTATTTTTACAAAATATAAAAAAAGAAGATTAAATCAACAATTAAAATAAATGATCATATATCTTGTTGCTTTACATGTAATTGTATAGTGATTGTAAACTTTATTGTGTTTTTTAGTGATACTGCATGAAAGCATGTTTAAATTAATTATAAGTTACTATTAATTGTAATACAGTAATTTCTCATTATTATGTATTCAATTAGATGGAGCAGCAGGAGCAAGAAAAGAGGTAATAAGGAATAAAATCAGAGCTATCGGAAAAATGGCCAGAGTCTTTACAACTCTTAGGTAAGAATAATTTTCAAAATATAAAATGAAAAATGTTTCTGTATTAATGTATATTATTTTGATAATGAATAGTATAATAAAATACAAATTATGTCAAGCTTTGATGAGTTTTATCAATATGATTCTGTACTATATTATAATATTATTTTTTATTCATGTTTCTTCATATTTACTTATTTATTTTATTAGCATCTCAGATTTCACTCATTCTATTGGGAGAAATCATTCAGGAACAAAAAAAAAAAAAAAAAAATTACNAAGGTCTGATTAGTGGGCTTACAACAAATCCAAGTTATCACTTTGTTGTTGTTAGGCTTGATATCAAGGTCTAGGAAGTGGATCCTGCAATTGTTGGATTGTTCTAGATTTAGCATTAAGCCAAAACTGTTGTCATTAAACATGTAAAAATGCTTGGATGTCAAACTATTGCCCAAATAATCTGGAAATTAAAATAATTATTATAGAATATTTGGGCTTGGTTGTTTATGTATATTTGCAATGATTTGTTAACAAAAATGAAACAGAAAAAGTGATATTTTTATGCTTGAGATGGCAACTTCTAAACTGCATACCAGTAATTATCTTGCTTTCAAAGGTCACTCTAGAGTTTTGAGTACACAGTAAGGCAGGTGTATGAAATTATGGTAATTTAAATAATAATGATGTAACAATGGATTATGGAGTTATCAAGTCTGATTTGTGACATTGCTAAACTTCTACATTTTACTTCTCATTGGTAAACTTTACATTTACACACTTGGTATATTATAATTTAATAATAATACAATATACCTGTACTTTAATTTTTATATATATTGTATATTTTTGTTGATTTATTTTTTAAAATATGGTTATATAATACATAAATACTAGAAAGAAAACTCAGTAGTTTTTTCATATGCAAGATATAATCATAAATGAAATAAAATTGGTGTTTTATTTTTAACTTTTTATTTAATATAGTTTTTTTAGACCTTCCTAATCTCTCTTCAGTTTTAACTACAAACTAGCATTATTGATGAAAAACAAATTATTACATTGTTAAATGTTGTCATTATTAATAACAAATCAAAAGTGAATCACTGTATTTTAAATTATTTTTACAAAATATAAAAAAAGAAGATTAAATCAACAATTAAAATAAATGATCATATATCTTGTTGCTTTACATGTAATTGTATAGTGATTGTAAACTTTATTGTGTTTTTTAGTGATACTGCATGAAAGCATGTTTAAATTAATTATAAGTTACTATTAATTGTAATACAGTAATTTCTCATTATTATGTATTCAATTAGATGGAGCAGCAGGAGCAAGAAAAGAGGTAATAAGGAATAAAATCAGAGCTATCGGAAAAATGGCCAGAGTCTTTACAACTCTTAGGTAAGAATAATTTTCAAAATATAAAATGAAAAATGTTTCTGTATTAATGTATATTATTTTGATAATAAATAGTATAATAAAATACAAATTATGTCAAGCTTTGATGAGTTTTATCAATATGATTCTGTACTATATTATAATATTATTTTTTATTCATGTTTCTTCATATTTACTTATTTATTTTATTAGCATCTCAGATTTCACTCATTCTATTGGGAGAAATCATTCAGGAACAAAAAAAAAAAAAACATAATTACAAATTGAAATATATTAAGCACAATATAAATAGTAATTATAAAACAATATAATTACAGTATATTAGCAAAGAAGAAAAGAAGTTCTGTCTGCATATCAGACAGAACTCCCAACATGACAGCAATTATCATTCATTTAGGTACTAATTGAACAAGCACCATGCAATAACAGGAAGAAAGTTTTGTATCATTTATGAAACAAAAATTTTATAATTAAATGATACATTACCACTTATCTTCTGTACAAACATGACAACATTCATTTTTATAATTTAATAAAAACAAAAAGGCAGCAAATTGCATCTAATCTATGAAGTAAGGGGGAAAATGTTAATATATTCGACTGTCCCTAATCAGCCCACCTTCATTCACTCTGAATTTTGGTTAGATACAAAGCTGTCAGATTATAGAGGTATCAACAAAAATATTTTTATTTTGTAACTAATTTTTATCACAGTAAATCTTATTAACATATACCATACATTGGATATAACATTAACTTTGAATCATTTTGGATATCATTTTAATTATTGTGAATGCATTTAGCAAACATATTGGCTTTACATGAAGACTTTTTAATAGACTTGATTTAAAAATTCCTTAATTTTTGTTTGCCATCTTTTTTGTGTCTTGTAATTCTCTTGCATGACATGGCTATGATATGCTCAAGTGTTTCCATCTTCTCTGCTTCCCAAAATCTTCAAATTTTGCTCAGATACTCCAGCACTTTCCAATGGAAGGAATTGCTTGAACAACTTCTTATTATCATCATCTTGTTTAGGCATATCCTCAGTTTTTTTCTGCATAAATTCAACAGTCATTGAGAGTCACCTTGCAACAAACTAATACATCATCATCTGCTTGAACTAAAGGACAAACAGCAGTCAGAGAATCAAAAAGCTCCTGGATTTCTGGTAAGATTGTAAGAGGACTGTCTGATCTACAGTAGCATCAGGATGTGTGAGACCAACATGATTCCAACAGTTGGAAATTTTCAATGAAGTTAGAAGCAATGCATATTCCTGTAGTGTGCTATGAAAGATCTGATTGCATCATCATCATCATGTGGTTGTAGTTTCAACATAGGAGTAAGAAGCACAAATCTATGTTGCTGAGATTCTCACATGTATGACAAGTCGAATATATATTGAGCTTGCCAATAAAAAACCACATTTTGGCAGATTATCTCCTTTCAGTAATGTAGTAGATGGCAGATTTCAAATTCAAGAGGAATACATTTGTTAGATACAAACTGTTCCATTCTCAAGCATTTTTGCAGAGATAAGGGGATGGTAGATTGCAATGGGTGTATTAGAGAGAGTTGAATGTAAATACTATTCTTATATTCAGACAGAACTCCTCTCATACTTATTAATAGAATACAGTCACTTTATAAATAAATTTACGAGTTGATTTTTCTTTGAATTTATATCTGAAATTTCTAATCTCTCTCTAAATCTCTCTAAATATTACATTATTATTGAACCACATACATATCTCATCAACGATACAATGGCCAATGAGAATTGAGTAACTTGTAATAAGTTCTCAGAAACATATTACAGGTATACCTCGACTTACGTCGTTTCGAGTTACATCGTTCCCGATTATACGTCGTTTGTCAAAAAAGTATATGGAAAAATAAAAATCAAGTTTAAGTCATTTTATTCGACTTTATGTCTGTCCGCCACAAATATTGAAGTCATAATATCATTAGAAAAATGTTTAAAGCACATAAAATCATATTAAAATATATACATTTACAAGTATGTACTGTATTTACAGTACATGCATTCGTAAATTTAGATTACTTTTTTCTGTACTATATTAAAAACTAAAATTTATTTGTTTGTAAGCTTAAAATAGATCCTTATTAACCATATATTATTAAAAATGCATTAATAAATAAAATA